ATCGACATGATAGCGACCGTAATTCGTGCCCGAACGAAGAAACTTCCCGCTTTGCAAACGTAACGCTGAAATTAATATTGTAAATACCCGTGTAAATGACGTATAACATATTTACAAAGATTTTTTTGTAAGTCTGTCAGTCCTTTTCACATAATAGAGTTGTTGCACTAAAACTTGATGGCAGTTGCAAGTTGAGTCGATAGTGCCGTAAAAACACCTAGATCTACTCAACCAATCAAAAGCGGACGTAACAGACATCGGTCCGATCAGCAGCACGCCAAAGGCATGAGGTACATTTCGAACCATCATACACTAATGAAAACATGAATCTGCGTGTTCATATTTCCTGCCTGTTGCTGTTTGCCCTTATAGGACAGAATTGAACAATCTGTGTGAATAACGAAATTATCCGGGCATTTTTTAAAATGCTCCAAGTGTTCAAGCTTAGTCGAATGAGCAGAATGCACGTCCCCATTGAGTTAAAGAAGGCGAAACTGAACTTTTCATCAAACAGCCAGTTGTAAATTGATGTCAGAAGAGAATTTCAGATGTTTATAGGCTAACACATTACTTTTAGTCCTATAAACTTTGAATGTCCGTGTGACTTTCTTTTTTTTTACTCAGTGCCCAGGAGGCGGAGAGAGGACGCTTGTGTTTCTTGTGCGAGAGAGTCGTGCAACGTCTGGAGCAGCTGCTGCAAGAGAGCTCTCAGGTAAGCCCTTTGGATACGGAGTCGGACTGAACAAGAAAGTTTCAATATTTTAAATCCAGTTAGGGGTGGTGAGGCTCCTAAAAATGGTGTTTGGGGTGAAAACTGGGGTAATCCCTAATCGTATTTCCTGAACAATTGTCCAAAAACGTATGTATGCGTTACTGCAAAATAGTGTTTAAAAAGATTTTAGAGCAGGGTGGAAGACTTTTGGAGAAAATGTCTTAAAAGCATGTTTTACCGCTTATCTGCTTCAGTTTCTGCTGTGAATATAAGTTGTGGCCATGTTTTGGTTTCAAATGCTTTGAAGATTTTTGCTTATTCTGGCCTTTTATGATCTTTATGGGCCGTTTTCTCTATTTTCCACTCTTCCTCTTTTTTCTACTTTTCCTTATTCGCTTTTAATTTAAATTTTCATGTTTACACCAAGACTGTCACGGAGGAATTGTTTTAATTACGTGTTTAAAAAAGATAAACGGCTTCAACTCAAAAGCTTTAAAAATCTTGCCTCGTCCTTTATTTGCCGGAAAAATTTCTACTGCATACTCATCAAATTTAACATTTGTTTTTATCAACAGGCGCAGATTGAGAGCGGCCTAGACAGGTTGTGTCACTTCGCCCCCGATCCCTTGAGGCCTAAGTGTGAGAACTTGGTCCAACAACGCGGGTCGGTTCTGGTCCAACTGCTGCAGCATATTCCTAAAGACCGTCTGTGCATCCTCATCTGCCGCTCCAACAACGCTGAAAACTAGATCTAGAGGTACCTCTGGGGCGTTCCAATAACTGTTGAGAAAATTCTTTTCTTCTCTGTATCTAGACGTAATCCTGGGCCTTTCCAGTGACTGTTTAGAATCTTCGTTTCTACTCTGGATCTAGGGGTTATTCTTGGGCTTTCCAATAACTGTTTAGGGTGTAGATGTTTATTTTTGTTCTCGGGATATTTTCTCGAGCGTCTTGACTTTGGCTAGGGCCCTGGATCCTGCTCGGGCAAAGCCCTATTTTTTAAAATCGGAAAATCGGGGTCTTATTTTGTCATGTGCAGGATTCTACGTGGTGCTCTGTTCACACTAAAGGCTTTTTTTCTCTAGAAATTCCGTTTTCATTTGAGCTCCCCCCCCCCTCATATCGCTGAAAACTGTTACCATATTTGGTTGCTTTTAAGCACAAGGGGCTATCCCGTAAAACGCTGTTTTGAGAAAATCAAAGGAAGTTTTTGGACCCTTGTTCAGTTTCTCTATAACCAAATATACACACCAATGAAACCAAACTTCTCCTATAGGTAGAACAATGCCCACTTTTTGGTGGTCAAGATTTCTGGAAATCCCCGAAATCTGCGTTGCCCGCTTGTCCTTAAAAGTGCAAATTTATGAACATTATTTGCATTCCTGTCTTTTAATTACTCGTGAGTCGGAAGTCCGATAACGTGCTTTATGCGCTTCACATGTACTTGTATCAATAGCACTGTTAACTTGGAAGCTTGTTCAATCAATCCATTTTGTCTTTAAAAAAATATATACGTAGATATACAGTATCGCATTGTTACCTGCACTGCATACATACAGAGGACTGTTTGAGTATGGGGATTGACTATGCTTTATTACATTGGACAACATACACTAATTGACTAAAAGCAGTAAATGTTCCTGTACTAGTATACCTACTTTTGCCTACCCCTTGTATGTTGCGTCGACCCTTCACGGACACATTTCTACATTTCTCGTACAGGAAGATTGTGAGCCCCTGCTGTGAGTGAGCTGGATGGCCAGGTGTGTATAGTTGTCGGGCGAATTGTCTCCACAAAGTTCGGCCACGCCAGGGAGGGCGTCCAGGCCATGTCCACACGGGTGACATCACAAGACCTCGTCCCATCGGTCACTCTGTTCGTCCGTTGGTGCTCCACTTCTTGCCACAGCAGGCCCGCGTCTTCCCCGGTCTCTGTTGACGTATTGTGTAGACCTTGTTGGCTGGTTTTATGTTGACCACTGTTGACGTATTGTTTTATGATGTTGTAGACAACTGTTGTATTTGTTGTAGACCGCTGTTGACGTATTGTGGAGACCGCTGTTGATGTAGATCTATTGTTTTATAAAGTTATAGACCATTTGTGCATTTATGAAGTTGTAGATCCCTGGATTTCACGTTCATCAGTGTCTTTCTTCGTCTCTACTTTGCCTTGCAGTACTTGATCAGTCTTGTACAAGACTACGTACAAAAGGTAACTCTGTGGAATTACAGAATGTTTTAGACGATTTGTATGTCGTCCTTGTTCAGCTTGCTTAGAATTTCAAATTGTTATTCACAACCCTCAATGGTAATTGATGGTGCGATATGTACGCAAAAAACCCACATAAAATGTAATTCTGGTAATTAATTAAATTTGTTGTTGTCTACCAATCCATGGTATTGGTATGAAAATGTGTCCTCATCAAATGAATAAAAAATCTTAATAAAACTTGAAAAGCGTTAATTGAATATTTTCCAGTTTTTCAATATATATAAATACCACCCCTCATCATCACTCGCCATTCAGATCTATATTTAACATGTCCTTCTCTCATATCCTTATATGTATCTATATTCCTTGAATCTGCCTGTAGGTTACACCTGGGTTCCTTATACACCATTGGATACCACCATACACCCCTTTCCCACTAGATGGCCTCAATCTCGTATAAATGGTTAATGGACAAAAGCCCATTGATTACGGAGAAAGGCCAAGGTGAAACTGGTTGGGTCACAACTTCCAAATCTGAGCTGCTTTTCTTGTGTGCGTGCCGAGAAAACACATGAACTGAGTACATTCCTTTTCTTATCCGCTCCTTTTCGTTTCCAGCCACACCCCTGATCTTATGGTAAGATCTACACCTTGCCTTCTCGGAAAAGGGCGAAAAATCTCGGTCCTGTGTGCAAGTAGCGCAAGTTAAAAGATTCCTTGGTGGTCCACAATGGCTTCGGCCACCACCCGGGAAAAATTTTTAACTTCCTAACGACTGAAAATGTTTAATGTGCTTCCGAGGGCCGTAAAACACTTACCAAAAAAACCCCCAACCAACCCCAAAATGACTGATAGGGTCGAAGCAGCCCGTCTCCTATGTGATCGCACAGGAAGTAAACCTATGGCGTTTATTACACATGTACTTCATTTCAAGGGGGGGGGGGGGGGGGGATCTAAAACTAAATGATGAAGCTTGTTTTGAGGCAGTGTTAGATTTATTTTCTTAAACTGTCAAAATTCGACGTTTCATCCTTTGTTACACCAAAGCGAGGTCAGAGTGCTTTGGTAAGTCTTGGTTTTTTTTTCATTTTACATTTTTCTGCTCTTGTTTCCTTTCAGTCAGGTGTCCCTTTATTTTCTGACACGTTTAAATAGAAGGGTCTAGACATCTATTCGGGTACGTCGCCTTGCCATGGGAATTACCCGAAGGCTAGTGACGAAAGCAGACAAGGCCCCTTACCGCTCCTGCTAACAGAAAATTCCCTGCCCAACCACTGGAGATACTAAATTAAAAAAGAACACGCACAAAAACAAGACACCCCCCCCACTCGTATTGACACTACTCTCGTTAGCTCTGACAAACGAAAAGAATTTGTAACGTGTTGAAGCAGTTTCGGGGAATTCTAGATTTTTAACAGACGTTGGTGATCATGGGTCACCACTCATTTCTCTTCTCGAATGCCCTCAAAACATCTTTATTGTCCTGGTTTTTCCTTGTCACCCTTCTGTTCACGTAGTTGTAGCAGGTTTTATAACGGGAAAAACGACCACAATGTTACTGCGACGTCAATTTGGTGCCCCTGTGTGCTGAAATATTCTATGGTGTGTAGAAATGAACGTAAAACCATAACTTATGAAACCAAAATAACGTTGTGAGGGATATATTTCTCTCTTGTTACAATACAAAGCGACACAGAAATTATATATATTTCCCGTCATGCCTCTTCTATGACGCAGAGCCCTATTTTCATTGTGCTTTGCTAGGGACAAGCAGAGTACCAGCGGGCACCCTTGTCAACATTGGACATTTCGCAATAGAGCACCATCAAGCTACGACGAGTTTCTATTTAGCTTGTTCTTAGGCGCACTGAGAGAAGGGACCTTTTGTATTTTTAACGCTACAGTAGACTTCTGTTTGAAATGTGTTTTTTTTCTTTTTCGTTTTTTTTGGGGGGTTTGGGGGGGGGGGGGTTGTTTTGGCTCTCCTTGTTGCAGATGTCCTTGAGTTTTCTCTTTCACTCCCGCTGTAGGGACCACAGAAGTACTGAAAGGTCAACGTGTCGCACGCCTCCTCCCCCCCCCCCCCAACCCCCAGGTCCCTTCTCCCAGTGCGCCTAAAAACAAGCTAAATAGAAACTCGTCGTAGCTTGATGGTGCTCTATTGCGAAATGTCCAATGTTGACAAGGGTGCCCGCTGGTACTCTGGTATGCTTCCCGGGAAGCTGAGAATGTTTCGGAGTATTCTATGGTCTGCTGGGGTAATAATATAGCGTAAAGCGCATAGAGCCTGCTGCTGAGCGGGGATATGCGCTATACAAATGCTATCTATTATTATTATTATTATTATTATCCTCTTGACGCAGCAATGTAGGCCCTAGGCTAATACCTGTATCAAAGTGCTGGATTGACGTTTCTCCCCAGGCATCGATATTTAAAATCGGTAAGCTGTCTCGACTACTCGTTACCTCAGAAATACAAAGTTCTTTCAACATTTTTAGCCGTTTTGAGTTACTAAGTCCATGAGGTCAGAAACCAAATGTTGTGCCTGCTCTATCAAAATCGTAAGATTATTTCGAATCGTTATCAAGGTATTCAAAGAATTTCATTTGAAAAAGCTTGACGTGTTATGAAACTCAACAATTTTTAACGTCAAATTTCTTAAAACTAGGTACTGAGCAGATAGAACCTTGTAATTCTGGGACAGCGTAATTTCTAGCAGTGATAAGGGCCTATATTATTATAATTTATTCCCTACTACTCACAACAGAGGTGTCGCGTAAAGAGAGTCATCGAGTGCATGACCTGTTGTACATTCTTTTTGTGCCTTTCGCTGATAGGGTGAGGAGGGTGGTGGACGGGCGTGTTTGTATGATGTTCTTTTCTTCATCTTTCCTTATTCATGCCTCTACTCTTGGACATTCTTATTAATGTATAGCAATGAATGTGCTGAAAAATCCTTACAAAAACAAAGGGAGTTTCTTTTGTAGCTACTTATTAAGGAGCATGGGTGGGGTTGGGTCAGTGTGGGTGTTCTAGTGTACTCTTATCTTTCTCACTAAGTTGACTGTTTCGTAAAGTCGTAAAAAAAGTGGGGGGAAACCATAGATCGTGCACAACAAGATGATTCGCTCACCCAAAATGTGTCGGCGAAAGTCCGCGCATTGTTTCAGATGGCGTGCAGTCGTTGTTTTGAAACTCTCTTTCGTTTCTTCAGAAGGGGAAAAGGAATAGCACCCCCTTGCGCATGCGGATCGACAACTGTTCATAGGTCTTAAATCAGTTGTTCCGCTTCGCTCAGTTCTGAGTTTAAAAAACAATTTAATAACCTCTCGCCTCTCATTCAAAGGCCAAATTAAACGACGAAATCAGTTGCCTCTTCTAACTGAAAAGAGGCTTTTTGTCGTCAATGTGACCACTGAACAGACGATCTACGGAAATATAAATTCTATTTTATCAAAATAGTTCCAGTTTCATTTTGATTTTTTTACGAGTAGGGTAACTAAGCCCACACATTTTTCAAAGAGGGTGCCACCGGAGTTTGCGGACGCTTTTTTCTTATTAGGCTCAAAGAGAGGAGTGAACCATCTTGTTTTGTCCGATCTTTGATAATACCAAAGATAGTACATAACAAGATGGTGCACTCAGCCAAAAAGTGTCCGCCGGAAGTCCGTTCTTTGCTTCAGACGGCGCTGCAGTCTGTTTTGAAGCTCTCTTTCGTTTTTCCAGAAGAATAGGAATAGCACCTAATTGTGTGCGCAGATCAGTGCGGAGTTTTATTTATTTATTTTTTTAAATGACCTCTCGCCTTTCATTCTAAAGTCAAATTAAACGAAGAAAACAATCACCCTTTCTTCCGGAGGAGGTTTTTTGTCAGCCTCACCGTTTTAAAAAAGCGTTCTTCCGAACTTTATTCAAAAACTTGCTAGTTTCACTTTGATTTTTATAAACACAAGTAGGGTAACTCTGTTCGCAAAGGGTGCGCATTTGCGAAGAGGGCGCCATCGAATTTTGAGGACACTTTTTTAATTGCCTCAAAAAGAGGAGTGGCCCCTCTTGTTATGTAGACTCTTTGATAATACTAATGACAATAATCGGTATTGACTACAGGCGGAGAACCTGACTGAATGTCGTGACGTAAGCACATTAGACCTTTACGGGGGAGAAACATTATAATTGCACCCGAGTACAAGGGCTTGTTGAAAAATGCTTGCACCCAAGATCATATTTTCTAAAATAATCGCACCTCGAAAACAAAACAAAATGAAAGCTTAGGATGTGTTCTATAAAATTCTACCTGTATCTTCCCGCATTATCACCACCTCTGTCAACACAGGTGCGCCAACCAGCAACACGCATCTACATCACATCGGCTGAAACAATTCAACTAGTTTTCACTTGCACCACCTACGCGCATCACATTCGATTTCTGCATTGTGTTTGAATAGATTTCTCTTTAAGTTTAAGTTTAAGTGTATACTCAGCTTTGGAGAAGAGAACAGTAAATTGGGGACAAGGTTTGGAAAATAGGAAGTATGCGAGAAAACCTCGGATCTGAGTCTCATAGTGGCATCCTGAGTCTTTAAGTTTGTGAGGGGATATTGTGTTTACGGAGGATGGCGTTTTTGCTTGGCCGATCAGTGTCTGCTCCAAGGATTTCATGTGTGTTATTCCTTAATTATCCTAAAATAAGGTCTCCACATAATGTACCCCTCTATAAAGGAAAATTCGGGCCGAGTAGCCGATCCAAAAGCATCAAATAAATCGAATGTATCAGGTGGACCACATGCATTGTGAAATATGTTGTTAGGCTGGTCTCAACATGTCTCTGTTATTGTGAAATTGCTGCCGTATTTATTGAATTTCAACCATAATTATGCAATGTTATTCCAGAACTGCAAGCCTAAGAAATGTCTCCAGATACAAAACGACTTCGTCATGTCGACCCTCATTGGGACAATGTGGGGGTATTTCTAATCTGACGCTTCCTTCAGGAACAGTGGGCATATTGTGAGACTCGTTTTAGAATAGGAGTAAAATGAAGATGGCGTTAGGTCAATTTTTTCTTTATTGCCCCCGCTCCTCCTTATAAAAGTCGGGAGGAGACCAAATATAATATTCCT